GGGGCTTCGGGGCGAAGCTTAGCTTGCAGGGCACAGGATGGATCCTTTTGACGTGCCCCTACTGACCTCAGAGCCAGGTTTCTTTCTAAAAGAGAAGCAGGTTCTACAGCTCTGCTCTGTAGGTCTCTCCCTAGCAGGAAGCCTTCTCTTTCCCAGCTCCTAGGATACTTCCACTGCTCCCTGAAGTCAGAATCGATGGGCCATTTTCCTTGGAAATCACTCATTCCCTCCCTATGGGGAGACTTTCTCATGTGCCATTGAGGTCTTTCGGGGCCCAGGCCAGGTCAACTTATGAGAGCAGCTGACAGAGGTCAGCCCGAAGCCCTGTCCAGGTTGAATCACTTCTGCTTTGAAGAAGCCCATGCTGACTGCTGAGAGGAGGGGTCTGTGTGCTGGAAGATGGCGGGGATGGGAGTGACTCTTCTGTCCAAGAGGAGGTACGAGGTACGCAGTAGGGAGAAGTGAAGGTGGCTCTTCTCCAGATTCGTGCCAGCCCTCACGACAATTGCCTCAGCACCTCCTATAAAGCTTCCTCCATCCCATAGTCCCCTCACTGGCTTGGGGAAGGGTAGGGGGTGGAGGTGAAGAGGCCCCTTTCCACTCCACAAACCCAACCGGGATCTTGCAACACTGGGATGGGGGCCCTGGGGGCCCAGGCATGTGGCAATCTGTGTGTGGGGGCGGGGAGGTGTGCGCTGAGCAGGGGGGCAGCTTTCACAAGCCACCACCAGGCTGCTGACCTTGGCAGACTCACCTTGGCTGCTTCCTCCCTCTTCTCAGTATCTCCCCACAGCCTTCCTTTTCTCTGCAGCTTTTCTATGGCCTGAGATCCTGTCTCCGCTCAGGACTCTCGTCTGAGCTCGAGCTGTGCATTCTGAAGCAACAGGAGCACACGTGTGGACTGTCTGGATCTTGATTTGCTGGTTTTCAAAAGTCACCTTTCCCCAGGCAGTGGTCGTCTAACTGCTCTTCGCTGGGCTCCTTTGAGTCAGCTCCTTGGTCCCTTCGTGGTCACCCTGCTGCAGTGACGGTGAGGATAGGGGTAAAGGGGTAGGGGAGCTGACTCCAGGGCCAGAGATAAGCCTGCCCTCTAGCCCACCCCCATTTCTTAGGAATGAAAACAGGGTCCTTTGCCACTCCATTCTCGACGAGGGGGGTTTCTGGCTTATCCGTCCCCTCCGTTCAGCCAGCCGCACTTGGCCTCCTCTCTCGTCCTTGATCACTCGGAGACACTAGGGCTTTCGCATTCGCTCTTCCCTCTGCTCACCCAGCGCCAGTGTCACATCTGCCTCCTCAACATTTTTTAGGTTTCAACTTAAATATCATTTGACATTTTATATATATATACATATATATGTATGCATATATAGTGCTACAGAGTGTGTGAACTTGTCAGAGGGAGACAGAGAGACAGAGACAGAGGGAGAGGAGAAATGACCTCCCATGGGGGATGGTCACACTGCAATCCCTTCTCTTCCATTTCTACATCCTTTTGGGATTTGAAACGCACAAACACACGTGCCTGGCATGTTTCTCAAGCCACCGGAACTGGGACTTGAACCACTTCGTCAACTATATGGGATCTGGCTGCCTTAACTATCAGGCCATGGAGCCAGCCCCATACTTGACATTTAAGTGGCCTTGACCACCTCGCTAAAATGGCTATTTTAGCTGTTCATTTCATTTTCCCAGTAGGTATATTCAATAGCATAATGAAGAGAATTTAATGATGATACTTTACAAAGGTGTGAATGGACAGGATTCAGGGAAAGGACAGGAGAGGCAAGTGCCCTAGGCTACCCCAAGCAGGGGCATCCTTACCACCCTCAGGGACTGAGGAGAATGGCTTGTCAGGGAGGGAACTTCTCTCCTTCCTCCTGCCAGTCTCACCTCCACCCCCATGAGAAACCTGTTGATGGAAGCCAGGTAGTGGGAACTGAATAGGGTGACGGTGGACAGGGAATCTGGGGACCAAAGGAAGAAGTTCACACAGTTGAGTGCCTTTTTCTTTTCTTTTCTTTTCTTTTTCTTTTTCTTTTTTTTTTTTTTTGAGAGGTTTTTGCTATAGGGTGCATGCGCTCACCAAACAGACAGAGACATAGAGACAGAAAGCGAGAAATCACCCCCCAGGGGGGATGGCCACGCCACAATCCCTTCTCCTCCATTCTCCTCTTGGGATCTTGGGCACGCACGCACACGCGCCTGGCGTGAGTTTTAAGCCACCAGGTCTGGGACGCGAACCACGGCCGACTATGTGGGAGTCCAGCGACACAGCCATTACGCTAACTGCTGGTTCCCAAGTGCCTTTTTCTTCCTACCCCTTCAGCTGAGAACTGGCCTTGCTCACAGAAAAGATGCTCACCAAAACGTAGTAAATGAATTACTTTGGCCACAACCAGTTGAGGTCAGATTGAATGGCTTCTTCTGTCTCCAGGTCATTTCCCTGGGATATGAGCTCATAGGAAAGTCTGGGCACTCCATGGAGTGCTGGCAGCACAACAGGGAGATGGGGAGGTGACTCTTCTCCAGCTTCCCTGCCAGTCGGAAATCTTCCACCCACCCTGAGGAGCCCATGCGGGTGGTGTTGGAGGCTGGGAAGAGATGTAATTCAGAGGTGTGGGAAAGAAGCTTGGGGTGATACTGAAGCAACCCAGGTCCCACCACCCAGGACCTTGAAAATAAGTCAAGGAGCAGTGGTCTTGAGCTGAGAGGAGGAAATCCGGAGGTTGAGTCACTTACCGCGTTCTGTACAAACCCCCCTTATGCAATCTATCCCTCTGGGCCAAAAAGAAGGTTCGAGGATTCTCCCAGGCACCCAGAGTCCAGCACCACCCCTTTCCAAACTCCGGTGACTCCCATCAGGCCCTCAAACCAAGGTTCAGCTCTGTCTGCCCAAACCAGACCTGCCAGGTGGCCCAGCATGGCAGAAGTGGAAGAGGCTATGTCTGAGAGTCACAGAAGCCAAGGCAGGAGAGGGGCTGAGTCCATGGATGCCTGAACTATGGGAGGTTCTACCATGGAGAACGTGGAGGAGAAGGAGGAGGGGGAGGGAGGGAAGGCTGGGATCATCCGGAAACCATCTCTCTCCTGCACAGAAGGTGATCCCTTCATGTCCAGCTCAGGCTTTCCCAGCAGTGGCCGGGGAGAGACTGAGCCCTTATTCTGTCCCTGGATGTGACACCGGAGCTAATTCCCAGTCACTTACTGAATGGGGTTGCGTGAGTTTTAAGCCACCAGGTCTGGGACGCGAACCACGGCCGACTATGTGGGAGTCCAGCGACACAGCCATTACGCTAACTGCTGGTTCCCAAGTGCCTTTTTCTTCCTACCCCTTCAGCTGAGAACTGGCCTTGCTCACAGAAAAGATGCTCACCAAAACGTAGTAAATGAATTACTTTGGCCACAACCAGTTGAGGTCAGATTGAATGGCTTCTTCTGTCTCCAGGTCATTTCCCTGGGATATGAGCTCATAGGAAAGTCTGGGCACTCCATGGAGTGCTGGCAGCACAACAGGGAGATGGGGAGGTGACTCTTCTCCAGCTTCCCTGCCAGTCGGAAATCTTCCACCCACCCTGAGGAGCCCATGCGGGTGGTGTTGGAGGCTGGGAAGAGATGTAATTCAGAGGTGTGGGAAAGAAGCTTGGGGTGATACTGAAGCAACCCAGGTCCCACCACCCAGGACCTTGAAAATAAGTCAAGGAGCAGTGGTCTTGAGCTGAGAGGAGGAAATCCGGAGGTTGAGTCACTTACCGCGTTCTGTACAAACCCCCCTTATGCAATCTATCCCTCTGGGCCAAAAAGAAGGTTCGAGGATTCTCCCAGGCACCCAGAGTCCAGCACCACCCCTTTCCAAACTCCGGTGACTCCCATCAGGCCCTCAAACCAAGGTTCAGCTCTGTCTGCCCAAACCAGACCTGCCAGGTGGCCCAGCATGGCAGAAGTGGAAGAGGCTATGTCTGAGAGTCACAGAAGCCAAGGCAGGAGAGGGGCTGAGTCCATGGATGCCTGAACTATGGGAGGTTCTACCATGGAGAACGTGGAGGAGAAGGAGGAGGGGGAGGGAGGGAAGGCTGGGATCATCCGGAAACCATCTCTCTCCTGCACAGAAGGTGATCCCTTCATGTCCAGCTCAGGCTTTCCCAGCAGTGGCCGGGGAGAGACTGAGCCCTTATTCTGTCCCTGGATGTGACACCGGAGCTAATTCCCAGTCACTTACTGAATGGGGTTCACGTGTGTGCGCCCCCCCTTCCCCCCGCTGAGTCCTAGGGGTGGGGTGTGATGAGCAGGAGTAGACAGGTACCGTGCTGACCCAGTACAGGGACCGAGCGAACTTGAGGAGAATGTCTCCTAACCCCCGGGCCCTCGGCAGCTTTATCTCTCAAATGTGGCTCACACTATCTTCCTTGTCGGAGGGGAAAGCCCACCAGATGAGCTTCTGAGGTCTCTCCCAGCACCTCTTGAGATCTGTGATTTTATGGAGCTCATTTTGGTTCTGCCTCTAAACAGTTGCGTGACTCTGGTTAAGTCCTTCCCTTGGCTGAGGCCTCAGTTTCCTCACCTGCTAAACGAGAAGTTCAGATGAGATCTTGGAGGCCCTTTCCGTTTCTAGCCAAATGGAATCACAGCACATATTCCTGCTTTTCAGGTACCAGGCCCTGCTCTTCTAGGACGATAACAGCACTTGGAGATGGGTCCTAATATTCCCGTTTTGCAGATGAGACGGAGGCACAGAGAGAAGTAACTGGCTCAAGGACACATAGCTAGTAAGTAGCAGAGGGAGATCAAACTAAGGCTCTTCGTCACTGTATGATTCTGCCCTTAGGCTGTAGCTCTATGAGAGACGCTTTCAGTGCGGCATTCCCCTGGCAGATGGGCGTCCTCCTCACCACTGATGTTCTCATATACCACTCAGGTCTCAAGGCCCTTCCCAGCTGATTCCTCCCCCGGCGCTGAGTCTCAAGCTTTAGGGAACCAGAGCCCTAGGGAAACAGGAACACAGATGGAAGCTGGGAGGTGGGAGCAATGGTCGGGGTGGGTGTCAGTCTGGCAGACGGAGTCTGTGAAACGGGGAGAAGAGACGGAGTGCTGGATCAAGAGTTAAGGGACCATAAGAAGGGCAGAGCCATTGGGAAATTTCCCTTGTCACTGGGGTAGTAGCTCCCAGGCAAAAGCCTCAAGGAGCGAGACGGCAGGCCTGGGATCGGCACAGGCATGGCGCAGGCCTGTATAGGTCTATAGGTCTTTGATGCCGGGACCTCCCTGCAAGGCACAGAGCTCTATCCAGAGAGGTTGCTCCTGGTCCGAGAGGGCCGGGGTGGGAGAGAGAACAATGGACAGACAGACAGCCTGGTGTGTGGGGGAGACACCTTGCCTGTTTCCACATTCTCATTTGGGAATGCAAACAAGAGGCATGCAGACCTCTCCGCATACATGCCCTGCTCTCAGAGTCTCATATACCATACATGCAAACACACACACGTCACACACACACATGTGTGTGCACACAGTTGCAGTGCAATTTTATTCGGCCACAGAATCATTATGCTGGGTCCTGTCCCTCGGTGTCACCCACTGTCATTTGTCCATGGTCTATGTCTCAGGCTGGGCCTAGAAAGGGCGCTAGGTCCCCAGCAGAGTGAGGGGTATCCAAGGTCAGGCGGCGCAAGGGGCCTGGTGCCCGCGGTCCACAAAGAAGGCTCAGCTGCAGCCCCCGACGCCCTTGATGAGGTTGGCGGCCTCAGGGATCTGGCGGAAGAGGTTGCGGAGGGTGTCTAGCTCCTGCGTGAGCTGCTCCACCCGGCTGCGCAGACGCTCGTTCTCTGCCATGTACTCCAGCACCTTCTGCTGCGTCTCCAGAATGCGCCTCTTGGCCTTGTCCCGGCTCTTGCGCACTGCGATGTTGTTGCGCTCTCGCCGCAGCCGGTACTCCAGGCTGTCTTTGTTCACTGCCTTCTTGCCTTTGTGTGAGGGGCCAGCTGGGGAGGGCGCCTTGAGGAGGGGACTGCAGGCGGGTGCGCCAGAGGCCAAAGGGGCCTGGAAGGGAAGGCACAGAGGAACCGCGAGGTGAGGGCTGACCAAATCTGTGGAGGCAGAATGGGAATCCCGGTGGCCGGGTTGCACTGGGAAGTGAGAGAATACAGGATTCCGGGCTAGTCTCTGTCTCCCAGGCCAAAAACTGCTCCGCCTCTGGAAGGACAGTAAGGCAGAGACACACGGTTCTCTGCTTGAGACCAAAACCCTCTCGTGTTGTCACACTCTCTGAGAACACTTTCCCTCTGTCTGGCTCCTGTTCTACCATCAGGGGCATTTCCTTTTTTTCCCAGCAGGTGCTGAGAATTAAAAGGGGTCAGGTTGGGACCAGCAGTTAGCGTAATGGCTATGTCGCTGGACTCCCACGTAGTCGACCGCAGTTTGCGTCCCAGACCCAGTGGCTTAAAACACACTGGGCGCGTGTGCATGCGTGCCCAAGATCCTGAGAGGAGAATGGAGGAGAAGGGATTGCGGCTTGGCCATCCCACCCGGGGGGGTGTGATTTCTCGCTTTCTGTCTCTCTGTCTCTCTCTTTCTGGCGAGCGCATACGCCCTATAGCAAAAACC